GAGGTAATCCAGTCATCAGCTCCCTGCAGTACCTGTACCTCTCCTTTTTTAGTTTTACACCCTAGACCAGCATTACTTGACCTTTTGTAAGTCCCTGCCTTTAAAAGTGTGCAAAATCTCGAGAAATCCCAGACTAAAATGTAAAAAATATAAATGGTTACATGTAAAAAAACATATGCCCTTGCAAAATCCATACCACATGTTTATTCCAGATAGGGGTTTGGTATGGATTTTAGGGAGGGGAGCCAATTGAAAAACACAAAAAAGTGGGGTTTCTTTCAGAGTAACTCCTTCAAATCAGGAGCCCCTTTACATTAGGAGCCCCCCTTTCACATCAGAGTCCTCATTTACATCAAGACCACCCCCTTCACGTCAGAAGGCCCTTTTGACATCAGAGTCTCTTCCCTTCACAACAGGAGCCCCCTTCATATCAGAAGCCCCCCTTTACATTATGAGCACCCTTCATATCAAGAGCCCTCCTTCACATCAGGAACCCCCCTTCACATCAAGAGCCCACCTTTGACATTAGGAGCCCCTTTCACATCAGGAGACCCCTTTCCCATCAAACGCCCCCCTAACATCAGGATCCCTCTTTCACATCAGTGTCCCCTCCCCCCCTTTCACAACATCAAAGTCCCACCCTTTTACATCAGAGTTCCTCTGTCACATCAGAAGTCCCCCCTTACATCAGAGGCCTTCCATTACATCATGTGGCTGCAAGGCAGAGGGTGGAAGGTAAATCAGGCCAGGATAGAGGTGAACTTTCTGCATGGATCCCTCCCTCCTTCAATTACCATCATTCCTTTCCATGGTGCTGGCGGCAACCTGCCTAGACCATGGAAAGGCATGATGATGTGTGGAAATTTCAAGGCACCCCTGAGGAAGCCACAAAACACCCCAGGGTGCCACAGCCTAGTCAAGAAAGACTGTCCTAGACGATGACAGATAAGATCTGACCTGTTGTTGGGGGTTGTAGTTTCAGTTATTTTTATTGAGGAACCTTTTTTTTTATCTGCTAGAGAAAATTTAGTTAAAAAATGTATTGACATGATCCAAGGAAATGTTATTAATAAATGAATTATGCATCTCCAATGAACCCTCCATTGTTGTAGTTTGTGGCAGTTTTAATGTTCTCTGTTGTTCTCTGTCAAACGTGGGCTGCTTATCAAGGGCCTCACTGTCTGGCAGCCATACAAGACAACCTAGTTCTCCTGATGTTTCTGGTTGGTCAAAGTGCACATACGCCCCCTTTGAGGTTACATTGGATTATACCTAGCATTAAGGAGGTTCCCGGGCTCTAGTAGGGAGGCGCATTGGGGCAGTGACACAGTCCCACCATTTAAACATTGCAGCAGGTGCCTGTGTTCTTCAAGAAGGCAGGCCATCTCAGCTAGAAATCAGGTAGAGGGCTTCTGCACAGGTGACATGCAGATGGACTGACAAATATTGGTTGAGGGAGTTTTAGAGTAAACTTGTCATAAGAGAAATGTGCTGGCAGCCGATTCTTTAAATTCTTGTTACCTGGCTTTTCACCAGTTTCAGTACTTTCTCAGTCACCAACCAACTGTTAAAGTGACCCTGCCAGTAGCAGTTACCAGAAGGATCAGTTACCAGGCAGGAAACATTGCAACAGATTCACAAAACACTATTTGTTAAAAAAAAACAATATACAGTGAGGGATAATGGGAAATGGGCTGAAAAAGTATTTATTTTCACTTAAATGTAACTATGATCTTAGTTTTACACAAGATATTGTATTCTGAAATGTACCTGCAACTCATGCACAGTGATTCAGCTACAGTAGCACCTAAGGCAAGCTAAAGTGGCTTCTCGAGCAGGGTGTCAGCATCCCTTTAGAGGCCAGTTTTGAATGCCATAGTGTAAACAGGTGTTTTAGATGCTTGTGCCATGTATTTAAATGCATTCACCATACATTTGCCTTTCACATTCATTGGTATGGAAAAATAAAAGCAATGTACAGACTGACTTTAACTGATCCCAAAAGTCCATGTATACAAGCTTAATTCAGTCACAATTTAAGGTAGAACTAATCCCAAAACCTTTTTTTTTTTTTTCCAGCTCTGAATAGAGTAAATGAAGATTATAGCCCTTGACAGCTTTTTGCCATATGTGTCCCTTTCTCTTCAGTTCCTGTCCGATAGCTACAACAGGAAGTGAGAGGAAATCCCTCTAAAGTGAGGAAAATTCCTGGTGGTCAGCATTGTGACCAGAACGAGTTTCTCTGTTGGAAGATTTCCCATCTATTCCTGTTCTGATGATCACTCAAAATTTGGGATTTTCTTTCACTTCCACTTTTAGTAATAATGGTTAACAGGACAAATAGAGAAGGTCAATCTCCCTATTGGGAACATAGACATATGTTCCAAACCTAAAAAGTTTTGGATGCAATTGCACTTTAATTTATTTATTACAGGTATTTATATAGCGCTGGCAATTTACGCAGCACTTTACATAGTTGCACATTCACATCAGTCCCTGCCCTCAAGGAGCTTACAATCTAAGGTCCCTATCTCACATGCATACATACAGGGCCAACTTAGAGAGGAGCCAGTTAACCTACCAGCATGTCTTTGGAGTGTGGGAGGAAACCTGGATGTTTCCTGGAGGAAACCCACACAAACTCCTTGCAGATAGTGACCTGGCTGGGATTCAAGCCAGGGACCCCCAGTGCTGCAAGGCAGAAGTGTTAACCACTACACCACTGTGCTGCCCATGTTTTATGTTAAAGAAGTTTTATCAGTCATTGGAACTGAGGAAGTGAAACATCTTCAACATTGCTAAACAAGTATAGTTATAGGGGACAAATTACAACTGATAATCAGAAAAGACAATTGGCTTTGCAACAGTTGCAGCAATTGGGCCAAAATGGGTATTTTCCTTCACCACTGGAGTCTTTGAGAGGTGTAAGAAACCAGTGAGTTATTAACTTTGCCAGGAATTGAAAAACAAAAAAACCTGAAATAGTAGTTTTGGGTGGGACCGTCTGGAGACGGCAACCCGCAGATGCAGCAGTGCCGTCCGTCCGTTTTTCTACTACGGGCGGATGGCAAGAGGTTAAACCAAGGCAAGACAAATCCCAGGAGCTAGGGAGACAGTGCTACTAAAAATTACAGTTGGCACCCAACTTTCGAGGTTTCCTTTAGTTGTTGTCAGTCAAGCTGGATCCTAAAATATCTTGCTGGCTCCTGGATTGGACAGACTGGCTCCACTGGGTGGACACATTTGTCCACCCAGTGGCATATCTAGGGTATGGCTAGGCAGGGCACGTGCCATGTGTGCCACTTGAGGGGGGATGCGGCACTACTCAGGGACAGTGGCGGTGTTTGCCCCTTTAGTTTAGCTGCACCCCATTCAGACCTCCCATTAGCGCAGACCCACAGTGACAGATAGCGCAGCCGATCTTTGCTTTTACACGTAAGCAAAGAGCTGGGGCAGAGAAATTTACACTACTCACTTCCTTGCCGGGCTCTGAATGATGACTCATGTAATGCAGAGCCCGGCAGAGGAATTGAGTGTTGTAGATATTCCTATGCCCCAGCTGCTTGTTTACAAGTTATAGCAGTGATTGCTGAGCTGTCTTTGACTGCAATTGCTTCATCCATGCCGAAGGAAAGTCTGAATGGAGCACAACTTAAAGGAGAACTATGGGGTCAGGGCTTTTCCCCATAGTTCTCCGAAGGGTAACGGGAGGACACAAACTAGCGTCCTCCCGTTACCCAAAGCTCAGTATACCGCAAACTACAGCTCACGGTATACTGAGACGCCGGAGCTGAAACGGATCCCAACAATTATGTCTGGATCCGCCCAGCTGCGTGAGTGACAGCTGGCTCTGCCTATCTAGAGGCAGAGCCAGCTGTACCCGCCCCCTTCCCCGTCCATTCCGCCAGTCAGCGCTGGAGGATCGGAGCGCGGAGGGGGGAATCCAGCCCCTCCCCTGTCCCGGCAGAGAGCAGTGAGCGAACGCCGGTATGTGTTCGCTCACTTCCCGATCTACTGAGCCGACCTGTGACAGTTTCATTGTCACAGGTCGGCTCAGATTATGAGGCTGAGTGAAAATCACTCGCCTCATAATTCTCCTTTAACTAAAAAGACAAACACATCTCCTCATGGCTGGGACTGGGGGGCCGATTGGCTTTGGTGTCACTGCAATTCATGCAGGTCCGTGCTGATAGGGGTCGGAATGGAGCACAATATAAATAAAGAGGCTCACACCCCTAAGCTTTCACTGCAATTAACTGCAGGTTCGCACTATCTGAATGGAGCTGGGATCATTCTATTAAGGTACAAAAATATATTTTACATATGCTGTACCTTCCATATTCCACACCACCTCATTCTTTATGCCATGCTGTATGTTCCCTATTCCACACCACCTCATTCTATATGCCATGCTGTACGTTCCCTACTCCACACTGCCTCATTTTATATGCAATGCTGTACATTCCCTAATCCGTGCTGCCTCATTCCATATGCCATGCTGTACGTTCCCTATTTCACACTGCCTCATTTTATATGCCATGCTGTACATTCCCTAGTCCATGCTGCCTCATTTTATATGCCATGCTGTACATTCCCTAGTCCATGCTGCCTCATTCTATATGCCATGCTGTATGTTCCCTAATTTACACTGCCTCATTCTATATGCCATGCTGTACGTTCCCTAGTCTATGCTGCATCAAATATACACCTTGTTGTACATGTTATATTCCGCACTGACTCATTCTGTACGCTGTGCTGTACGTTCCATATTCTGCACCAACCTTACAGGCCCAGCAACTCTAGTTTGTATGTGTGTCTGAGTGTGCCAAAAACTAGGGCGTCAGATGTTTGGAGAAGGGCGCAATTTCAGTGTTTGCCATAGGTGCTCTTTACCATAGATACGCCTCTGTGTCCACTCCTGCTTTAAACCACACCAGTGTTGCTTCATAGTGGTATGATTCCTATATGTTGCCCTCAGCTGTACAAACTTATCTTTTTAGGGTGAAAGAAGAACAAAAACCCCAGCACTCACAGTAAGTAAATTTCCTCACGGTGCAGTAGGCTTGAATTTTATTTTTTGGTTTTGTTTTGCTGTGTTTTTGCTTTTATGCAGTTTTGGTGTTAGGTAAACCTTAAACCTGATAGGCTGCATCCAGTGTGTCATCTGCTTCCTGATTGGCTTTGTAAGATGGCTGCATGCAGCTTTCTTACCCCATCCACATTAGCTGGATGTCTTTTCCTACTGCCTGCTTGTGGACTAGTTCTCAGTGTGAGACCTGTGTTTTTCTTACATCTTTTTGCTGGCTGACTATTGTAGCTGACATCCTTTCACTGGCTACTGGCTTTTTCTTTTCTGCCTCTCTGTAGTGGATGATCTTGAAGTTGAGAGTCATATATCCAGTAGCCTGTTAACAATGTCAGATCGGGCCAAATAAACATCTCCACCATGAATACTAGCCACAGTTTAAGTATACAGTTCATGAAGCATCACAAAACAGATTGGGTAACCTCACTGTTACATTAAAGTCTCCAATTATAATGATTAATCTTTGCTGGGTCAGATAGTCTGTTATCCATATAGCAGTTTGTCATTAAAATAAAAATGCTCCAAAAAAGTGGCCCCTGCATAGAAAATAGTTATTACTCACCTGCCAGTCTCCACTGTATCAAAGAAAAACCATTGAATGTTCAGAATCGGTCATTTCTAGGAGTGTTGGATTCCCAATACCCCACTGTGCCTAGCAGTTTGATCCACTGCCCCTACATCACTACTGTGTCCTGTGACGTAGGAGTTAGCAGGAGAAACCACAGTGCCAAGTGGGAAACCAGGAATTCTGTAGATTCTTCAAGCAGCAATACAACCAGGAATCTGACACTCCCAGAAGTGTCAGATTCTAAAGCTTCTTAAAGCAGGTGTTTCTCTTTAGGATAGAATGGATTGGCTATTTGTGTAGCACGAGATGTGAGTATTAATTCACTTGTTTGCAACGGACACATTTTTGAGCATTTGTATTTCAGCAATAGAGCCACTTTAGAAAGTGCTGGAAACCATCTAGCAGCAGGACTTCCTAGACATCTTTTGTCCCTCCCTGTACTAGACAGATGAGTCATCAGTGAGGGATATAGGTGGGCGTTCTACTATCCTTGCAGGTATTCTCTGCACTGGGAACTGCGTAGAAAAAGAATGAAAGGATTTGAAGCAAAATCATCTAATTTGTAGCATACTGGCATTCATTTTTTTTAAATGATGGCAGATCAAAAGAAACCTTCTGTTTGTAACGTCATAGCAGAAGGAAATAAGCAATACAGTTAATGGCTGGTTGAAATAGAGAGGCCCATAGCAGCTCACCAAACACAACAAAAAGCCTTTTTGATGAAAAAACAAGCTGCCAGACTTCCAGACATACTGTATCTGTTAAAATCTCTGGAACAGAAGTTGCAACAATAATGTAAAAAACAATAATCTTGCTCCATTGTTTTCTAGACTTCCATTAAAACATATCAGAGATGAAGTAGTGGGTATAAGCAAGCAAGACCTTACAATTTTACCAGTTATTTCTTATTATTCATGGGCATGCATGATTAAGTTTACTTGCTGACGGTGGGGCCAGTTAACCTTGGAGCTTGCAACTGCATTATTTTTGTTTTCTAAACTCAGAGGGACCTAAGGAGCATAGGTTCCATTCACCAATCAGGCTTGGTCTCCTACAAGAAGCCCCAGAGGTAAGTGCTTTCAGCTGGTAGCTTGAAGATAAAGCAGCATTTTTAGCTCAAGACTTGTGACTCTTGCATAATATTGGACAGCAATGGTTGCATGAATAGAACAAATTACCCAGTATATATCTATTTTTCAACAGAGCACCCAAAAGCAGCCATAAGGTGTTCCTTCCATGGACAGGCTTACTTGTTTTCATGACCAAATCCCAGACTTTTACTTGCAATGCCAAACATGACAAAACCCCAGACTTTATTTAAAAGAGAACTATGGGGTAACCTTTTTATCCCATAGTTCTCTTAAGGGTCACGGGAGGACATATACTAGCATGCTCCCGTGACCCAAAGCTCATTATATAGCGAGCTATTGCTCACTATATACTGAAAGCGCCGCAGCCGGGACGGATCCTGACAATGTTGTCGAGATCCACCAGGCTGCGTGAGTGACAGCGTGCTCTGCCTATCTACTGACAGTCACTGCTCTCTGTAGGGAGATGATCGGAAAGTGAGCGAGCGACAGTATGTGTATGCTCACTTCATTATTCTCTATTAGGAACACAGAAGAGAATTACATTTCAGAGGTACAAACAGATGATGGAGGTGGATTGGACCTCCAACAGTAATGCTCCATGTCTTTATTTAGGTTTTGGGCATGTTGCTATGCATCAACATTTTGGTCATAGAGGAAAAAAATGCAAAACAATGAGGGGGATTTATCAAAACTGGAGCAGACAAAATCTGGAGCAGCTGTGCATGGCAACCAATCAGCTTCTCTCTTCAGTTTGTTCAGTTACGACTTGAAAATGAAAGATAAAAGCTGATTGGTTGCCATACACAGCTACTTTATTTTTTGTCTGCTCCAGTTTTGATAAATTCATCTCATTGTGTACACAGCTGAAACACATCTTCCTATTTAATCTTGAAACTACATATAAAATAAGATCACATTTTGGGAGGAAGTCAATTATAATTCATGTTGTTAAGTGGGCAGCAGAAGGTCTAGTACCAGCTCTAGGTAGGCCCTGTACTAACTTTATGTAAAATTCAGTTAACATTTAACAACACAAATGCAAGTACATATGATCCATTGTCAACAGCTTGCTGAATTTCTGACTCCAACTTCAAGATTAGCCTGTAGTGGCTTGGGGTGACAACCTTTCGGGTCTGTTGCTTGTACTCATTGTGGTAAAGTTGCCTTGTTTGCTTATCCAAACAGGTGGTTTCCCTTTAGTGGGATCACTGAACTGGTTAATAATGTTCTCCAGCCACAGTCAAAGCAGCAAAATGAAAAGGAGCCTGAGAAGTAAGTAAGCTGCTTTGCTTAGATTAAGTACAACCGCTGTAGCATTTGTGCATACTACTAGTTAGTATGTGTAGAAATGCTTGTAGATTGTCAGTGCATTTTTTTTTACCTGTTTACATCTGTGTTGCAGTTTGCTCCTTTTCTTTGGAATTCACAATGAAGTGTAATAATAAGAGACGCTGCTGAGCATGCCAAGCTCATTTTACTGGCAGCAGACAGTGGGATTAAGCACAGAGGCTGGCAGGAAGAAGGGCAAGCTCACTGTCCTGATTTGGTCCTTCGAATTCACTTTGCCAGCCTGTCTATAATGGGCTTTGCCAGTCTATCCATTGGTATTCTCATATACGTGACGGCACAAAAAATATTACACACATTGGAAGCAGCCAGGTGGGCAAAAATTGAACTCAGCCAATTAATGACACAAAGGGGACTATTTATAAACAATTTGCAGGGCCCTTCATCCTGCAAATATCTGTGAGCGTTAATTTTGTGTGAATAATGGCAAATACGAACGTTCTTAATAAATGTCATTTTTAGGTTGAATATATTGGGATGTAATTCTACATTATGGCCACTAGATGGAGCTTAGGAGCAGAGGAAACAAGTATTTATTTCCTTTTCTCCTCAGTGCCATTTACTGGCCGTAATGCACTAGGAAAGGGAAAATATAGAGCTGTGAATAGGATCTTTAATGTAATGATCCTTTAAAATGTATCTGCTACAAGTACACAATCCTCCAGCTATTTTTGGCATCATCTCTTTTTTCAGACAATACAGACAGTTTACTAGGAAGCGGTGACATCACTACAGAATGAAGCACTTCAAAGGGAATTTTTTAATGGGCTTGGCAGGTGTTTTGTAGAATAAGGCCTACACAATATTTAGGAGATAGTGACAACATGGCAGGTGGCATATTTCTTATATTGATGGCTTGACCAGACCAGATTCTTACAGTTCTAGAGAATGAGGCCTACTCAAGACCACGGGGGGCAGAAACTTGTTCTAGAGAATGAGGCCTGTACAGTCTTTAGGAGATGGTGACATCACTGTGGAAGGAGGCATTTTTTCATATTGATGGTTGGACCACAAGCTCACAGAATGCAAATTATAAATTCACTATAAATTAGTGATTTCTCTGCAGCAACTTACTGAGAGCAGAGGAGGACTGGCAATCTTTGGTCTGAGGGCCAAAAATGTCCCATTTGTGTGGGCGAAAGAAAGTGTACCTCACATAGTACACCATACTGCCATAGTGAGTGGTGGGTATAGTGAAAACCCCTTTGTTAACAGTGTCAGCTTCCTTTGTGGATTTCGGCATTGGTCTCATTAAAATACAAAGGAAGTCAGTGCTTAAAGCAGAACTTAAGTCTATAACCCCTATCACCATTGGGAGATTTCCCCTCTATTTCTGTACTGGAAACACCTCAAAACTTGGAAATTTTCTTTCATTTTTAGTGATAAAGGTCACATGGAAAGGGTGTATCTCCCTTACAGGGGACCCTAACAGGTGTTTTAATACCTCTCCACTCTGTCCAAAACAGTTGCACTTAAAAGATCTCCCTCACCCAGATGCTATGATAATAGATCTTAATGAGGAGCAGGAAGCTATAGGGCCCAGTATGTGTCACTGAGTGCGGGTTCTGCTGTGATCAATGTCTGAATGTTGAAGTATCTCCATTAGGGTTGCCACCTGTCCAGGACAGTTCGGATTTTGAATACTGTGTCTGGGTTTCATGGCAACTGGAACCCGGACAAAAGAGGTCAGGGAGACGGTGGCAACCAAAATTAAGATAAGGGCTAATGGCCCCCCCACTGAAAATAGCCTCAACTGTGATATTTACATATTAATGGGCGGTGCTATTTACATATGAATAAGCCGCAACTCATACGCCCCAAAAATTTCCGTGCGTCGCTAAAGTGTTCGGGTTTCGCTGGAAGAAAAGGTGGCAACCCTAATCTCCATTCAGAAACACCAGCCGACCACATCCTATTGATAGTGGCCCAGGATTCAAATGT